TTGATTCACTTCCTATCCAGATGTAGGCATTTGAATGAAGATCTTAATGAATTTCATAGTAGTTTTTTGTATTACCAGTTATGTCGAAATAAACATGTGTATCATCACTAGTATATACAAAGTACCTCCTCTCATTATAAACAAGATGCATACCCTACTATTTTGACATATTATTATTTGAAATCCAATGATGCTTTAAATTTTTTTAAATATGTAGACAAACAAACTGATTTCTTTTTTTTTTTCCGTGCAATACACAGATAATATACTAGTTAAGATATACAGTCGATCCAATTAATGTTTAATTTGCATGAAGTAATTGATATTGTCTCAAAAATAGATAAACAGATTTTGTGGATTTTAAAAAATTGGAGAAAATAGGGTGGAAAACTGTGCTTTTTATGAGTCCGATCCATAGTACTCAAGTTACTTAATTTTCGTATCAATCAGTTTAATATATGGGTTTATGCTGCAAATCCCTTCTTCTTATGCCATTGATACATGGAAATTTGAGTTTTTTAAAGGGTTTAAGTTTTCTTATGTTATAGGATTGTAGGAGAGAAAAAAAGTAGAGAGAAGTTAAATGTGGGTCCCATATTTTATATTAAAAAAGAAAAAAAAAATTAATTGGCACGGAAAACGAATTTGTGTAGGAAAATAATGTAATCTCATGTGGCATGAGAGTATTATTTCCCTTTTTTAAAATCAGATAGGGCCCACGTTGTTTGTGTCAATTGGAATTTGTGCTCTTCTTCTGCGACATATAGAGGAGAGGAAGTACAAATCCCTTAATATATATACAAAATAGGTAATACTTCTCTGTTGTATAAGAGAAGTATTATCTCATGCTCAAACAAAAAGTAGGAGAGAGAAAAAAGTTAAAGGTGAGAGAAAAAAAATTTTGTGGGACCCATTTGAGAAATATGAGTGTAGGAGATAATATTTTGTTTATGTAATATGAGAAAAGTAATTCCTATAAAAAAAGAAACAAATGTACAGAATTGAAACATAATTTTAAGGGATTGTATCTTCTCATACTGGGGAAGAAGAAAATATTTTGCAGCTGATACAATCAAATGGGTCCCATTAATTTAAAAGAAAAAAAAAGAATAAAATGAAATGTTGACGTAGAAATCAAACTCTCACAAGCAGGAGAGCATCAATTTTGCTGCAAGAGTAGAATTACTTTCCCCTAATTTTAAAGTATGGAATATGATCGGTTTATTTGTTTACACACTGCAGAACACTTATTTTTAGTATTATTTTCAACTCATGGGCTTGCCTTTCAGGCTAGCCTCAAGTGAATTTTTCAAATCATCTGACCGAAAGCCGTCGTGTTTTGCAGTCAAGTCTAAAAATCACATTGGATCAAGAAAACATTGACTATGACAAAAACCTATGGAGTGTTCGATTGAGAAGAAATTTTTTGAATACTAGAGAAATGTAATTATTAGGAAAATAGTTGGAAAGTGAATTTGGTAGAAAAATGTAAAAAAAGTTGTTTGGTTGACCAAAATATTACTAGAAAAATTTATTTAAATTTGCAAAATCTATGTTCGGGAGAAACTTCGCACCTGTTTTTTCACCTTCCCAGTTATCTCAAAATACCACATCTCAAGTGGTATTTTGCAACAGTGAATTTCATCCAAAAATCAACACAAAAGTCATTTTTCCATCTATCGTATTTGCCTAGTATTTTTTTTCAAAAACTTGAACCAAACATGATATTTTTCAATATCCACTTACACTTTCACATCCATCCCAAAATAAATCTTCTATCAAACACTTACTTATAAAAAAGTTTAGAATGCCAATTGCCTTGCGAGTTGCGACCATTTTATTAAGGCCTATTTGAGAAGTTGGGCTCTAACAGTAAAAGTCTGATGTCAGTACCACGATTTAACCGTCAAAATGTCTTGCTGAGAGATACTTGATTACGAATGATTTATTATTGACACCTGAATTAATATTTATCATGTATAAAATTATAGAGTTATATTTTTTTAAACAAAGAATCAAACATATTAAATAACATCAAAATAATTTCTCCATAGTCGACGTCGTTACTTTGCTTCTCTACTATGTTTCAAAATATGTTACCCACCACTAGTTTATATGGCTCAAGGCGAACACACACACACTATCTCTTCCCGATTCCACTGTATATTGGTAGCTGCTAACCATGTTTAAAAAAAAAAGGATAGAAGGGGGAAGAGAAAAATAAAAAACAATTAACCTAATACAATCAGGTCTAATCCCACCACTTAGACCTGACAAGCTTATACTATATTATCGTTATACCAAACACCTAATAAGCTCGTAATGTATAATATACACTTAAATTATCAAACTTTATATATCACATCAAACAAGTCCTTAAATATCATGCTTCACGAGGCTCTGCTTTGTTGCATAATACTCAAAGTTGAAGAAGGATCCGTTTACAAACTTTTTTAACAAATTTTTACAAATTACATTATCTTTTCCCAGGAGGACATAATAAAACCTAGTATTCTCCCATAAAAAGATAGTGTAATTTGTAAACAAAAAAATTTGTAAATATAATTTATCCGTAAAAGTTAGCATATTTCTTTGTCAGGTGCTGCAGCCTTCATTCTCCGAGTATGGATTTCTGCGGACTGAACAAATTTTGCTTGTAACTATAAAGAATAAATTATTTAATTTTCTTGAAAAAAAAATTCCATTCAATTATTTTTTCTTCCCATTTATGAGCACCTAAGAGAATCAATATAAAGTCTGCGTAAAGATAATTCTTTGAAAGCATCGTACAAATTTTTATTTGCATTTGTATTAAAGCAAGAATAGTTGTCGGTCAAAGTAGCCAAAATACCTACGTAAGGTAGCGCTTTGGGCAAAAAAAACCTAAAAAAAAAATCCAAAAGGATTAGGATCATTTTACACCAGTATAAGTTACACTCTTAATCTTGTCCGTTGATTTCATTTATATCTAAAGGCTCTAATTTTTTTATTAATGTGAGTCATTGGATACAAGTGGATCAATGGTTAAGATTGAATGTAAGACTTCTAACTCTTACACCGGTGTAAGAATATCCTGCCCTAATCCAAAATAGACCAAAGTCACTATATAATATAGCGACTTTTGTCTATTTTGCGAATCAGGCATAGACGGACCTAGGTGGTTGCACATATCCGCAAGTGCGGACATAAGATTTTAGTTTTTTTTCTTTGTTACAGGTTCTTATTTGTCTCTTGGTTCAATATTTATATTAAGAGTAAATACTCTTTTAAGTCGTCAACAAAAAATAGGGTCCCCACTTTAGTCACTTATAAAAAAATTAGTCTTAAGGTTTCTAATAAATTCAAAGTGGATCAATTTAGTTAAAATCGTGATCCCTCACAAATTCAAAAAAGACTCACATTAGTTGATCAAAAAAACTAAAATGTGTCCACATTGAATTTCATAAGAACCAGGTCACTAAATTTTTTTTTGTAAGGGACTAAAGTGGGGATCGAATTTTTTGTTAGGGATCAAAAAGAGTATTTAGTCTTATATTAGTTAGCAACTTAGAAACGTACAGAGATGATTAAAATAACGTAGCAATGCAAATTGATTAGAGAGGAAACTTATTCTTCCTCTCCTGTCACGTACTCATTCCCATGCTGTCTTCATCATTTGTTTCCTTTCTCATTTTTCTAAAAAGAGAGGATTGATTGCAGGTCTGACATTCTCAAATAAGTTAATCTCTAGAGACGAGGCATTCATTGTGATTTCGCTTGCCTTCTGTACAGGTAGTGTTGACTTTTTTATTCACCATTATAAAATAGAATGATGATGTATGGATGTACTGGAGTATATTCTAATATTTGTTTTGAAAGATCGGTAAGATTTAGGGGGGAATGATTAGTCCAACTATTGCCTGCAGCTTCTTATGGAAGCAACTAGATTATGAGCGAGTTCATAACTTTGTTTATAAAACGTTAATCTAAACTGTCTTTACAAAAAAAAAAATTTGGGGACGTTGCCCCCGAGCCCCCGCCACTAAATGTACGGACATAAAGAACTTTTTCTAGGTCCGCCACTGGAGTCAGGTGTCAGTTTGAAAAAAAAATATTGAATTTCGGGTGATTTTTATTACAAAACGTGGCACAAAAGTAAATGTGCCATGGTTGGTTTCGAGCCCGCATAAGCGGAACAATGATCAAAATATTATCTGTTGGCAAAAAAATTACTCAAATATCATGCGAACAATATTTTTTACCATACTGCCACGTAAGCATAATTCGCTACGACGGGTAGCAAATTATGCTTGCCAATAATTTTATGACACGTGACGCACTTTCGCAGAAAAAATGCTGACGTGTCATAATTCGTTACCAGTGGTAGCGAATTTGGTCTGGAATATGATCACGTGTCACAGAATCATTGGCCACGAAATTCGCTACTAGTGGTAGCGAATTATGACACATGACAGTCTGGTAAAAAATATTGTTTGTCTGACATTTAGATAAAAAATTTGAAAAAATGTGACATTTTGGTCACAAATCCCGCGTAAGCAAACCGGCTCAATCTAATGACACGTGTCAGACTCAGCTCAAGATTACATATCTAGATGTTGGGATTTGCAAGTTTTAAGGACACGTGTCATGCTGTCCATGTCGTCATTCATCAGCAGTTCAATTTAATGAAATCTGATTGAAATCTTAGCATCCTACTTTAGTGTTGGAACTTGGAACTTATAAACGTGATAGCCAATTACGAAACTCTCGTTCTGAATGAGTGTTAACAAACTAATTTCATCCTTTCATAATAGAACATTTCTCAACGCATCAACCTTCATTACATTGTTATTTTTTTTTTTTCAATTACAGAAATTGCCATAAATCTATGAAAAATCTTAATATGCAAGCAATCATGAAAGTTATGAACTGTTTCAGCAGAGCCCGTGATCAATGAGAGGGGAAGCAAATCTTTCAAAGAAAAATAATAAGCAAATGATGTGGGTGCAATCAATATGATTTTAGAGTTCAGTTTCAACAGGGGGTGAAACTACAATCACGGTAAACGCATTCTCCTTGGGGCATGGGATTGCCATAACATGCACATCTGCAACAGATCCAAACCAACAAGAAACGAGGAGGGGCTTATTTCCTTCGTGAAATGCTACCTCGTACACTCCAAAATCGTTCCACGTGGCACGAGTTATTTGATTCTTGAGGCCCGATCCCTGCATGGTATATCCATTCTTGGAGCAGCTTTCTACCTTGATGATCTCAGATGATTCTTTCACGAACAAAGAAAAATCTGAACCCATCTTTATACTCAGCTTTCGTTCTGCATCCTCAACACAAAGCAGGGCTAATTCCTTGCTGAAATTTGCATCCTTGGCAGTAACTTTGAATACAGTGCTTTGAACTCCATTTTTGCTTTCTGTGCGGCTGATTATGTCAGAAGGGAGGGGCTCAGGATTTTTTTTAAGACCAGGGTGGTAAAATATTGGTGTTTTAATCTCTTCATTTTGGGGTAACTTGTTGTGTATTTCAGCCCATTTCTTGAGGAAGTTCTCAACTATCAAAACCTCTGCCAACAGCAGGCTGCAGCTGATACCAATAGAGTATCCTCCACATTCGAAATTGGTCACCTGAGAAAAAAAAAAAAAGCAATAAATAAAAGGCTTTTTCACCCATGTAAAGGAAAACTTTTTAAAAATGATATATCAATTTAATTCGAAAATATGTACATATTGGTCACGCCATAATTTGTACAAAAAATAACGCATGTCTTATAATTAAAATGCGTATCGCTATCACGCGTGTTTAAGTTGTGCATTCCTCATTTGCTTAACTTGAACGTGCATTTAGCATTAAATTAATAAATTATTTATAAAAAAAAACCAAATAAAAATAAATAATAATAAAAAAAAAAAAACAGAAGTGGCACAAAAACAATGTAGTAATATATTTGCCTGAACATAAACGAGAGGAGAGAACTCGGGAAACTGGTCATCAATTTCTTTCCAGAAAACAAGCTCAGCCTCGAGATGTTCCTTTTTGTTCAAGTCGAGAAACTCTAACAAGGTCATTGGGTAGCGTGCCTCCAAGAGTCGAATGCCAGAATCATTGCACACAATTTCCAATCCCATGTCACCACCCCTTCTTTGGAGGCGACCAGCAAGCAGAGGGTACTCCAACAGGGCCCTTGCCAGTGACTCCACAAGCCAACTAGCCATAGACCAACCACGGTCCTCCTCGTTCAACTTCTCATAGAACAGAACAATTTTGTAGCATCCGTTAATTGTCCTTGGCTGGATAGTGTGGTCGTCACTCCCCACAACTTGGCGAATTCGCCTTGATTCAGTCACCTTAAGCGGTGCCACACTCGTTAAAGCTACAATTTGCAACTTTTGGGTGCCACCATTGTCATGCCCCTCCATTATTATTATTATTATTATTATTTTGCAACTTATTGTTGTATAATATAGAGTGACCTTACCGACAACACATACGGGATGTATTTATAAGGACAACTTTTCAAAGCAGAATCAGAAGGAGGGGTAGCAAGGTAAAACCCCTTTTTTTTACTTGCGTCAACTTTTATATTATATTTGTAGTATGATCAATAACAAGCACAAAAGACCCGCGCGACACGCAGAAACCCCTCAGTAGATCTAAGTTCAGAGTTTGCGGGGCCGTTTACATTATTGATGAAGTATCCGCTTCAAGATATTAATGAATCTTCACTCTCTTGTGTTGGAATCGACTACACGATCGCCAATTGAAAAAAAGAGAAAGGAAAGAAAAAATGAGATAACGATTTATCTGATTCATCTAATATAAGTCACACGAGAATATATATTATATTCTCTTCACCGCAATAATTTGCGGTCACTAATTTTTTATAATAAAAATATAAATAGAATTAGAAATTTTTTATGGACCGAAGCTCAAAAAGTACTAAAAGAAGGTAAAAATAAAATAAGCCAGTACTTACAAAAAAAAAAATTAAATAAGCCAGAGACTTATAACTGTCTCTCGCCAACCGAAGTCGACCGTCTAAATATATGAAATATGAGTCATACCCTACATCTTGTTCTTAATAATTATCTTAGGTAAAAAAAATCTATCTTACTTTAACTCGATTTTTAAGAAATTAGGGGGAACATTAATTAATCTCCATAAATTTTATAAATTTTTTATCTCCGTTACCTCTGATCTCTAGAATAACGGGTAAGTTTTAGTTTTACTTGTTTTTTTTGGAGGTTACAAGGAATTGAACACAACACCCTACACTACACACACTCCTAACACACACCCCACACCACTAGGCTAACCCTAGTGGTAGTTTTACTTGTTTTAGTAAAAGAAAAAAGTTATAGATTTTCCTAACGCCTGCACATCTTGAAGCATTACGAATTTTTATTGTAATAATTCTATATTTTAAAAATATAAAACTATAACTCATTTGATTGTTTATACTCTCGTGTTTCTCTAACGTTATTTTAAAAATATAGTTTTAAAGAAAATTAACTGTAATGTATTTATATGGGGAAATTTGTATAAGATTTAAGAAATAGATAAGGTTTTGTGTAATGAACCAAAATTTACAATTAATAAGGTATATTCATTAATTATTTAAAGAGATAATGATTGAGTATTCACTAATTTTCTATAAAACGTATCATAGAAATTATACTTAAATATAATGTATTTATAAAATATAAAAAAATTGCATAACATTTAAAAATAAAAAATTGTGTAATAAAAGAAAAAAATGAGAAATTAATAATTTACTCTTAATAATTTGCTCTTTTAATGTATTTTTCAATAAGTAGAAAAATAAGAAGCCCTTACAGACAAACTATCTACAAAAGAAACTGCACTTGGTTGAGCGCACAACTACTTTCTTGCGTTTTGCTTTATTTTTTTTTATTTTTTAAAAAGGACAAATCAACTTTCTCTTTCTTATTTCAAAGAATGAAAAAAAGGAGAAAATTCAGTTGCTTTCTTAATTAATGATCTCAACGAGTGCCAACGCTTATCCATCAATTCAAAATATTAAATAGTTAGACTTTTTATTGTAATTATGTACAACAATTTTTAATAATTATAAAAGGGACAACAATTTAACATTAATATTACTTTTTATGGAAATAAGTGCCTTTCAACTTATTTAGTAATAATCACTTTTCAATCTTAACAATTTAAGAAAAAAAATTGTTAAGATTTTTCTTATGTTGCACTACTTCCCAACAACATCTCTTAATATGTAGTCGGACAATTCAGCAATGACATCAAATCAATGTTAATGAAATCTGATTATTAAGTCAACACTTAAAAAAAAAAAATTGCAGCATCTTAAATGTTTTGAATTCATGTACTAAAAAAAAAATGTTTTGAATTCGACGTTTGTGACAATCCTCTGTTTATAGGTTAGCCTTACTTCAAAATTATAATATACTGAAAAAACAGAAAGCTCAGTTATAGACTTCAACAAAATTAAATTTATTTAACTTCTTTTTTTTTTTCTTCAAGATTGTTGTTTTTTTTTTTTTCTATAAATGTTTCTATTATATATATAAAGGAAAACCAAAGAAAACCCTCTTTGTGTTCACACTAAAAATCCTCCAAAAAGCTGACGTGTCAAACTTTGATTCGTGTTCAGCTGTGTGTTCACATTGTGCGTTCACACTTGCATTAACATTTTAAAAAAATAAAAATAAAAATTTGTAATAATGACTTTTTATAAAAAACGAAAATCGAAATGGATGATTAATGATCCACCATCATTAATTGTTATATTGGGAGATGAGAAGTTTTAAAAAATTGCATTAGAAGATGAAAGGTTTTTGCATTGGAACCTGCAAAAATTTATTGAACCTTATTGAAAGCTGAATTTTTTTAAAATTGAACCTTAGTGGAAGCTGAAAAGTTTTTTTAAATATTTAATGTGCAAGCCAAATTTAATGGTGTATAAATAGAAGATATATTGGATGAGGGAGTTATTTTTTGGAAAATCGTCTGTGCTTATATTTTTCATCTCCACTACTTTCTTCATCTGTTCAACCTATTCTTCTACGTTATCTATTATCATATCGTTATTTATGTACTCGAAATATGATTTTATAAAGAATCTTAATACATCTAAGGAGAAATGAAAGATTAAGGTTAGGGTGGTTAGGACTTGAAATGTTCCTAATTTTCAGAATAAAGGTTTCAACGACAACGTGGAGATGATTCTTTTGGATGAACATGTAATAGTTTTTCTCTTACCATTTGCAATTCTATTGTGATATGCTTTTTTTTTTAATTATTATATGTATGCGTTATGTGGGGTGGAAGAATTTATGCTATTGTCAAGTTGTTGTTCTATTAGATGAACATGTAATATTTTTTGTTTTTTGTTTTTTTTGGCAACTCTATTGTACAGCAATGCCGACGAGATGATTTAGAATCACTAAAATATGTACTTCTGTACTTTCTCGGATGAAGGTATGACATTCTTCTCTATATATTTTTTATTCTACAAGTATTTTCTCCATAATTTTTTTTATTTTTTGAATATTATAAAATAAATAAATTGCGCAATTGAGTTGATATTGTTCTGCAAAAGTATCTTTTGGCATGATATATTATAAAATAAGTAAATTTTTTAATATATACAATGATTTCCCACGACCACTGCGAAATATGGATCACAAGAAAGAGTGTACTTTGTGGGAGCGGTATGTAGATCAAGTACAAACTTTCTTGGCAAATAATTAATCTTCTCAAAATGTGGAAAAAGGATTTCAAGGATATTTTTTTTATAGTTCTTTCTCATTTTATGCTTATGTTTCAGGGTTATCAATGAGAAAAACGCGAAAAATGCATAATGGTGGAAAATTAAAAGATCAAGGCTTTATAAAAGTGAAAGCAAACAATCTACTATGAAATCAACATCATCAATGAAATTAGGGTTAAGAAGAAGAAGAACGGTTTGTGAGTATATTAGATGAAAGAAGAAGATATGAGTTACCCTCTTTTAGATTTTTAATCTTGCAGCTTCTTATTTTCTTTATTTTCTTTTTTTTTTTGTATATGCACCATGCAATTGTGGCTTCATACTAACCAAAAGAATATTTTTTCTTTTCTTATTTATTTTTTATTTTATTATTTTTTTCTCCCACGAACATAATTACTAATATCCTTTTTATATCCAAAAAAATAATGATTTTCCTTTATGTATGACTTTTATGATGTATCATTTGTTCAGGGTTATCAATGAGGAAAACGGGAAAAATGCATAATGGTGGAAAATTAAAAGATCAAGGCTTTATAACAATGAAAGCAAACAATCTACTATGAAACCAAAGAAAAGAGTTCAACATTAATTAGTGGCAGACATATGCAATAATATCCCACTTTTTTTTAAATTTAAAATTTGAAGTTGATATAGGTGGGAAAAGAATTTAACATCTTTTAATGGGAGTATTAAATTTCTATTATTTTCTACCTGTGAATTGTTAACCCTCATTTTAAAAATCCTCTTATGCCTTTTTCCATATTTATCGAAAAATCAAAAGACCCAAAGAAAAGAGTTCCACATTAATTAGTGGCAGACGGGTTCATTAATATCTACTTTTTTTGGAAATTTAGAAATTTGAAGTTGATATAGGTGGGAAAAGAATTTAATATATTTTAATGGGAGACAGTTGTATTAAATTTCCTCTATTTTTTACATAGAAATTTTTAACCCTCATTTTAAAAAAAATTAATATTTTTTTCCATATTTATCGAAAAACCAAAAGACCCAAATAAAAGAGTTCTACATTAATTACGCTTTTATAAGAGATATAGAATTTAAAATCACATATGAATGAAAACATTTTATTTTAATTCGAAATTTAAAATATTTAAACTAAATTGTTAGTGCGAAAAGAGTTTAAAATTAATTAGTGGCAAGCAAATGTTTTAATATCCTACTTCTTTTTTAAAATTCGAAATTTTAAGTTGATATAGGTGGAAAATGGGGTTTAACATTTTTTAGTAGGAGACAACTGTATTAAATTTTCATCTATTATTATATACTTAAAAGGAGAACCAAAAAAACTGATGTGTCAAGCTCTCATGCAGTTTCAACTTTGTGTTTACATTGTATGTTCAGTTGTTCACACTTGCATGTCAATTTAAAAAAAATTACATAATAAGTTCTTAATTAAATCAAAAATCGAAATTAAGAAATTAGTGGGAGACTTCTAATTAATGACCCACTATCATTTTTACATTGGAACGATAAGGTTTTTAATTGTCTTATTGGAAGATGGAAGGTTCCTCTTTTTTTTTATGGTAATCTGATGGAAGGTTCTTTACTAATGTTACTTGAAAATGAAAAATTCATCATTTGATATTTTTTTATAACCTTCAAGCCATTAAGACGCTTAATCTTCTACCTCCTGTGCGTTCTCACTTGCTTGCCAATT